TAAAGTTTATCTATAGTGGCTGTCAGGTTGCTCTTTGTAATGGATTGCTCCCATTCTCTATCTGGTACCAGTTTGCTGTTCAATATATGGAAAAGATCAGACCTGTTTTTCCAGTGATTTAGCCACAGAGCAACTAAAGACTCGAGATGCATATTTAACTTTCATCTTATGCTTTTCAAAATTTACACGATTTTTGGTTAATTTATTTTTTAGTTTCATTTTGATTTGTTGCTGATAATTAACTAAGTTTACGATATGATTCCATTTGATTGGATTATTATTATAAAATATCATATTATAAGAATGAAACATATTCCTCATTAATTTCAGCATGTGGCATGCATCAAATATGATATATATTTTCTGGCCGGTTATTGGGGACAAGAAACTTGTTTGCATGTTTGGAAATGTGAAAGAGCATCCAAGCAATCCACATGCCGAAACGTTAGTGGCCAACCCACCCATTACCAGTGAAACAACCCTAAAAAATAAATATAATGTATAAAAATTTTAACATATCTTTAAGAAAAACAAATGTTTACCCTAACTCCAGCATTATATAACTTATCAATGGCTTTCTCTATAAAATCTTTCAACTTTTGAGATGATAATTTATTTGTATAAAAATAAACTATTTAATGCCTCCAAGCTTCTCTCAGACCAACAATATAAAAAACCAACACCTCTGAAGCAACTATGTCCTCATTCCCATCTCCATAGTTAACATATCCAATAAAGTCATCTTCACAAATAAACAATGCGATGATAATTTATGCTTAACATTTAACATCAATAAAATTTAAAAAATTGAAGACAAATGCTTATAGTGAAATGGGAAACAAAAAAATCAAGAAATAAATAAAATACACAAGGAATAAACTAGCATATGCTACCAAAATATGCTATATCTTAAACTCACAATTTTACAATTAAAATAAATTTTAAAAAACCTACCAATTTTCCTATTATACGTTATTTGAGGCTTTATTCATTTATTGATATCGAATAAAAGATTAAAGAGCATTTGCAATGTTTCATTTGCAGAACATATTTCTTTATATAACAATACTAGTTTACAGAATATCACTATTAACAAAATTTTACTTGTTTAATGTTCTTGAGTGTGGCAGTGTTAGTCCACTTTTTCTTTAAAATTGGTATGCACGAGGACCATGAAAATGCAGCTGCATATAAAAGGTCTTGTAACTATCATTATATACTTTGTTAACTCTTTTTAAATGGTATGAGTTTTTTATCTAGAACCAAAAAAAAACAAAAAATTAATCAAAATTCCAATTCATTTTGCTATGGTTACATAACATAAAACCTTTGTATGTAGCTAATTCATTTTTCAATTTATTACATTCATTCATAAGTTTTCTTATTGTTGCCTGCAGCATTGTGATTCTGGACTTGTAATACTTTGATTGCCTTTGCTGTTGCTTGATGAGATGTGCATCCATTGAGCAAAACATCTAAATATGATTTATATTTGAAAGTAAATAGCTGCATTTAAAATTGTTCATCATACACACACACACATATATATATATATATTATTTATATATATATAATATATATATATATATATATACCCAATAAATTAAAATAAAGAAACTCTTTGTATTCTGTATTTCTTATGATAAAAAGCCATTTTAAGTTTTAACAAAGGCAATCTTAATAATAATAATAAACCCATAATATAAAAACAATATAAAAAATATTTGAACATTAATTAACGATAGTTAAAAAAATAAAAAGTCAAAAATTTTAAATAAAAGTACAAAAAAGCAAAGCCTCTTTTCTTCTACTAGTCTGGGCCTAGTGTCTCCTAGCACAATGTAACATTTTTAAAACTTTTAAACAAATGAACTTTATAAAATCAAAATGGATCAAATAATAAATGCTTCTAAAAATTTTAAATAAATCAGTTAAATTATTTATTATTAAGATAAAAATTGATTAAAACTGCCGTAGAATGATTTTAGCAGCAAAAAAACGTTTACGAGAAGGCCGCCGGTGGCACATTAACAGGGAAGAAGCTAAATATAGATTGGAAAACTGAATAACCCATTGACAATTTGGTGTTAAAAAAGTTTGCTTCCAAGTTTCCTGACCTTGAGATGAAGGTCAACACTATAAAGCCATTCTTATATATAATTCAATGGGAATAGTTTATTGGTAGCTGTTTGTTATTGGCAATGTTGTTAATGATTGTTAATGCAATGTTCCTATAGTTTGTTATTCAATTGTAATATATGTTTTCTTGTATACTGTTTTATGATGATGATATAGAAAAAGCGTAAAGCACAATTTTTTATAAATCAATTATTTTAATAACCTTGACGACACCACGGGAAGGAAAACATGGCGACTCTACCTTTTGTTTCAACAAGTGCTAGCCTGCATTGATTACAATCTATCATCTGGGTTACTTTTCGAACCACCCATATATGCCACTGCATTATCGATAATGGTTGACATTATGTTTTGATTTAGAAACTCCAGTTCTAAATCAGTTTCTTCAAAAATATGTTGAAATTGTTCTTCGGGTATTTTTAATTTTAATTTTAATCTTCCATTAATTGTTCCTGTACATTGCCTGAAAAATTAGATAATGATAAACATAAAATATCTTTTAAAAGGTATGTAAATTTAAATTTTTGAATAACCTGTTTTCCCAGGGACAATCCCACATCTGAAATAAACTCGTTTAAAGATGGTTTCCAACTGTTGTACATTGGGATTGTCATTGCACTTTCCTAAGTCAAATTATAATATACGAAGTTAAAGTGTTTTAAAAATTACTTTATATATTTTCAAA